AGTTTTGTATGTGGAAAACCCTATTATAATAGCAGTTTAGTCTATATTTCTAATCATTCAACATCTACCTTCACTGAAGAGCTAAATGTATATGTATATATATTAGCGAAACAGCTGTCTGAAGGAATTATCAATATCGTCTACGGAAGTGTCCTCGCAGTGGTGATGGTTGTGTGCAGGAGGGTCTCGTCGGCTAAAGAGCGCAGTGTAATGGTGGATGTGACTCAACATTTTCTTCAATGGCCGAGAGCTCTGCGCCCCCAGGTAAAGTAGAAGAAATCAAATGGAATCGCGTTATGAAGCAACTATCCACGACTGTAACAAGATAATAAGCAGTCAGAAAGTGCGATAACAAAACTGACATGTATTGGTATTGGTATTGATTTATTTGAATTCGGTATCTCAACAGTACATTGTACAACTTGTAACCATGGTTACTGAGACATTCAACGACATGACACCTTCATGTACTTTGTAGCTCTAACACATCTCCAGTGCGCAAATCAACAGCCTTCCAGCTTGGAAGGTTCAAGGTTATAGTACGGCCACCGCCAATGAGGGGAAGGTGAGCGCAGCGAAAATGAGCATAAGCTAAGTTGCGGTCTAACTACAATTCGAAGCAGCAAAGCAACACACCACCCAACTTGGGTGGGTCAGCAATATCAGAGATAAAAAGGGGGAAGCTTTGCGAAAACGAATTGTACAAAACCGGACGCCAATATCTAACGGTACCCCTCTTCATGACAGACAGTATTGTGGACGAGTTGACTACGATAACAAGTAGTTTCACCCTTTTCTTTATCTCTGATATTGCTGACCCAAGAGCCAAACAAAGTTATTACTAGTTGAAGTCGGATGGTGAGCCAATTTAATTATGGTAAAAAAGAAGAAGGACAACATGTTACGAGTTATGACTAACTGGGGCGTAGCTCGTGCTCTTCTTCATTGCGCTTTCCTTCCCCTCTTGAACCTTTCCAAACCTGAGCCTTCCAAGTTGGAAGGTTGTCGGTGCTCGCCTTGGAGAAGTGTTGGAGCTACATTGTACATGTAGGTATCAGGCCGCTGAAACTCAGTACTCCTGGTCAGGTTTGTGTCATTTTGTCGCAATCGCTGACTGTATATGATCTGGTTACGGTGGCGGACAGTTAGTCATAACTCGTAACATTTTGTCCTTCTTCTTCTTCTTTTTTTAAACTACAATGTACATGTACTAGTACTGTACAGTCAACTTCGCTTATAACGACACTCGGTGGGGCGCGAAAAAGGTGTCCTTATTCGCGACGTGTCGTTATACCCGAAGTCCCATTATAGTATTACAGTTGGATGTGACTTTGCTCTGGGCATGGAAATTCTGTCGTTGTTCGCGAATTGTCGTTATATCCGCAGTCTTTATTAGCGAAGTTGACTGTAGTTGTAGTCGGGAAAACCTGGGAACTTGATGCTTGTTGTGAGGAGCCGCAAACTTGTTCTTCTCTTGAATATGATTGTACCGGTACATGCAGAGATTATGTAATAGTACCTGTATGTAACAGTAATAATTTTGACTACAACTGTGGTCAAGAGGAATTCACTCATTTTCTTAAGGATTCCCCAAAGGCTGTTCGCCTGTCGAGCTAGGGGTTTCCTGTTAGCTTACAATTGTACTCTCGCTGTAAAGTATTCTTTGTAGCTTTGGCAGTTTGATCGCGTCGTCGACAAGAACCATGAGTCTGACTTCCCAGCATGAGATGTGAAGTACTCCTGGAGTTCTGGGACTTTCCCTACAACTTCATCATGTTCATTCATGCTGAGCTGTCAAAGACACGTGGCAACGCGTAGGTCTACTCTACGCGGTGTGTTTTCAATCAGTGTTCTGAACTATTATTAATTTTTCACTGATGATACTGTAACTCCGAAGTGCCTGCTATGCTATTGGTTGGAAACATTGAAGCCAACGCGCCCCAACATTGGATACCGTAAAGTGAGAAACTTTCGCTAGAGATTAAATTTCGCTATTTTCGCGAAAATCACACATTCGCGAATATAAATCGCCGCAAACCTCTCCGTACCCGTACATTGATTGTAGACACTACTACATTTGTTGTACATGCATACTCACTAGAAAGTACAAGATCCGACTGAAGAGATAGAATCGCAAATATTTCTCATCGTGAACCAGTCCGATTTATGAAAACACTAAATAATTTGAACACCGCGAAAATGAATGTGTCGCTGTACAGTAAGCTGCATAGCATTACATGTACATGTATACCGGGCATTCAACCCGACAAGTAACGAAAGTCAAGGCATAATAATTAGTACTAGTACACTGTACTAGTATTCGATAGATCAGTGGACAGTGGGCACGTAATTCTTTTTGTTGGAGATCACGTGGTATGAAGTTGATCACGTGGTAGTTTGTCTAAATGAACAGGAACATTTCCTGGCTAGGTTGTGTTGCATTTTAAGAGGTACACGTACATGACTTTTGTATTGGGATTCCCCAAAGGCTGTTCACTTGTCGCGGGGTTTCCTGGTGTTAACTTTCATGTTCATGATGTAGACAGAAAAGTTCCAGGTTGTCCAAAAGAGTGCTCCGTGCCCAAGAGCAGAGCTACATGTACATGTACTTACAACAATGGGAAGAGGATGATATGAATACTTTTTGTTTGTTTGTTTGAAGTTTTATTTTACATCGCAAACCAAACGGGCATTGATGCCCAATATTATGATGGCGATAGAATAAAAAGTGTGGCTCGATAAAGCTTCACTTGCGAAAATGAGAAAACAGTCAAACTTCGTTGTAACTCCGAGTTGCACGCGCGGGCGACCATAAGATAACACTATTTACAGTTGTCTGATGATCGCCTCGTGCCTGACACTCGCAGTTACATGTGCATTCATCATCTTCTACTTGCTGTTACTGTACTACAAGAACATGTTCAACCCGTTTCCATGGTTTCCACTTCATGATGGGCTGGGTGGTGGCGATCGAATCGGGCATGCATTAGCAGGGATCTTCCGGATTTCTCCCTGATAGACTCCACACGCAGCCCCAGTGCTTTCTCCAGCTGATGTCGAACACGATTAGTACAAGTCTCTGACTGAGTCAGAGCCATCGCAAGTACTAGTAGTAGCTGAAGGTTTATAAAAAGCTGCGACACATCAGAGGCGATTTTCACGTGGATGCTAGATTTTGACAAACAATCGCGTTCCCCCTGACGCTGGCAACAGCACCAGCTAGGCCAGGGCTGCCACTGTACTCAGATCCAGCAACATATCGTTACGACGTACACAGAGCCTCAGTCTCAGAGGACAGATAGAATCAGGGAGGGAGTTGTAGACTGAAGTATTGCACTCCCTGCATGCACGGACTCGGTATGCTCTCAAGACTCCCATCCGAACGTCGCCAGTGCATGCAGGCACGCCGCACCATCGTCGCTTTCTTTCTTTGTCATCAATCTGAATCATCCAAAGCTGCCTGTACGTAGGAAGGCATGGGTTTCCCCTTCCCCTACGTACAAAGTACATTGTACATGTACATGTAGCTCCAGCTTCGATATTTTGCAGCTTTGTTCATGTACAGTGCTGGCAACTGAAATCCGACCCCCTCCCCACATTCTTTGCGATGTGAGCGCACTGCTCCGAGCCGGCAGGGGGTCGGATTTCAGTTGCCAGCACTGAACATGTAGATCTACAGTCTGTACATTATAACGTTACAACCAGGGAGTCGTAAAATACCGGTATTTCACGACTCCCTGGTTACAACGGCAACTCTGCTTTGTATTAACAGGTCATGTATTCCAATAATACATGTACTACGTTTTAGCAAGAGTGGGAGCTAGGGACCGGCGGATTCTGCTCGAAAAGGTGGCAGATTCTGCTCGAAAAGCAGTGAAATTGGCAGAACCATACAAACCTTATGGCGGGTAATTCCTCGAATTCTGCTCCATTTTTTTTATCCACATACCAAACATGCATGAAACTTACCAGAAAAAGTACCGAATTCTGCCAATTTTTCTGCCGGCAGAATCCGCCGGACCCTAGTGGGAGCTCATTCTCTTTTTGTTATAGATGTACATGATTGCACTTCTGCACGATACGACAGGATAGCCCCGTGGCCTGGATCCTGGGCTCATCCTTTCCGTGGTATGAATATGATTGGAGAGACGCATGGTGAACTCGTAGACCTCGTGACCAGATGACTCACCCCATGCTTCCAACGCGGGCCGGTGAACATCCTCCCCTCCAGCTTCCCTTCCAACAAGACCAGATCGCTTGGAGCGGACCTGCAAGATTGTCTGACCCAAACTGTCCCACGCCTTGTACTGTCCGCAATCTGTGACACATTATCGGCACGTCCACGGTCAACTTTCAAGAACAACACTGAATCTCCCAGATGGCGTCTTATGCGCCACAAGAAGCCTGCTGGATACGTCTACAACACTCAACAGGCGTAGATCAGTTAGCAGTTAGCACCGACACGCGAAAACTCAACTCTTACCACTTTTGAGGAATGCTGCCAGACTCCAATCAGATAATTATAACCTGTCTCCTATAACTATAAGCCAACACGAAATAGCCACACTGGCCGCATGCATGCAGGATACGCGCTTACCCCCCCCCCCCCCCAAACACACACACAGCACTAAGTAAGTACTGAGTACTAATATGACAACAATATGGAACTATACGCCAAATACTTCTAGGGCTTTGGGAGATATCCGTCTGCCGATTCTTCCAGCCACCACAGGGAAAGGGGATCGAAGAAGAAGAAGAAAGGCGACACACAATTATATGTTTCAGTGGCCAGCTATTCAGCCAAGCCTTGCGCACGCCCCGTTGTGTAAACTGAAAGGTATGATCAGTAAAGTAGCCTCCACAACATTTCTTTGTACAAGACTAACAAGACTCATAGTCTGACTCATAGGCGCAATTTCAACAGCAAAAATGCACAGGTGACAGGATCCAGACGAGGATGACTTGCTCATACACATAACACACAGAAGTGACCACATGGCTCCGTGGATTATGCCAAGCATAGATTCAAGAATAGGTTTAGGCGCTTCCTGTCCTGGAGTTTCATTCCCAACAAAATGGCGAGTGGATGCAAAGTCAAATATGTTAACGTCTGGGAAGGAAGCGACAAGTGGCAATGATGCATTTCAGCAGGGCCATTGTGATCAGCGTTGATGCCAGAACTTACTTGAGAGAAGACACAGGCCCCATGTAGCAGCTCAGAACACTCAAGAACCAGCTTCGCACATTCCTAGTATAGTAAGCCTACAGCAGCGTATGGAGCAGAAGAGGAATTGCCTAAATTGAAACAGGAAACGAAACAGAATGTGCCTAGTCACGATTACTTGGGAATACAGTAGTATCACTAGCATCAATACAGCGCGGCTGCAGGCAGGACATTGGAATCAGGCGCAATAATGCTGGAAGTTGGAACGTTAGGAATGAACACGAAGATGCATCGACTTACAATTGTAGATGATGCAATGATTTCACACACATTGACTAGGTGGTGGGGTTAGAAGGAATAGGGAAAATGGAAAGGAAAATGAGCTGCTTTAGACTATCATAAATGTTTTTTTAAACAAGGGATTGAGCTTCTAAGTACATGTACCGTGTTATCATATTCAGAAATTGACAAAACCCAGACAAGCAAACTAATGGATGGAAGCTAAAAAAATACAAAAAGCAAGCAAAGCAATTTGAAAAAATATATTCACAAGTGCGAGTAGCTAGCTGGCGATAGGTGATAGAAATGTGGCAGTCATGTGAAATGGCTGCTCTTCCCTCTTGGTATTGCTTAGCCTAAGCAAACCAAGCACCCAGATGAGTGGATTCAAGCTGGGCATTTATATAAAATAATTTTTGTCTTTTAATATCAGTGACGGTAGTCTGATGATATCAAGATGAGTTTTCGGCCTCAGTGTGGCGCTCCCAAGGACATTTGAGGTATCCTGTTGAATACTGGTTTGTTGAAATTCAAGATCTATCCGATTCACGTCTCCATGCCATTGTCATAAATCATCGCGTTGCTGTCGTCTTCCAGGGAGATTGATCGAGAGAGGTTCACGTCTGTGCCGGGTCTGTCACCGTAGAACTCAGTAGCGACGGCCGCTTCAGCACTGTCGTACATTTCGGCGGCCTTAGATTTTCCAGCTTCACCATTATCGGATTCATTCTCTAGTTTACTGTCCTTAGGCTTCTTCACACACTTATGGCTGGAGAGCATTGCCCGAAGACGCTCGCTCTCCGCCAGCAGAGCAGCATGCTCCTTCCTGAGCTTCTCCTGAGTATCGTCCAGGCCGTCGACTTGCTTCTCCAGGAACGAGATGCGGTCGCGCTGCCGCTGTCGGCATCGGGTGGCGGCGTCCTTGTTGCGTCCGCGCCGCCTCTCAAGCCTCTCCTCTTCCTCCGGAGTGTGCTCCTGGAATAAGGTGAAAATGACATCAAACATGTAGCGGGCATGATCAGTGTTAGTATGGCTACATTGAACATGAACATGTATACACACACTAAAGGCAAAGAGCCGTTGAGCTGTAACTGTAAGTTTCACGCATTTTAGCGATGCTCAGACAGTGGCATTTTGTATACAATTATAATCACCGCACCACTGATAAGGCACGGAATCGTTTAGCTCTTCTCTTTCCCAACAGAAAACTCGAATTCATTGCATGGAGTTGAAACAAAATTTATTATAATTCCCGAGCTACCACTCTCTCGCTATTAGGCCTTGACGGATTATGCTAGCATAATTTTTCGCATAATTCCTACCAAAATCGAATAATCGCATAATTCGAGGCAAATTGCATACGAATCGCATAAATTGGAATAATCCGCCTGTTCGCATCAAATTCCATACAGGTGTACATGTTCTACAAGTACAAGTAGATGCACCAGGAAGTCGTAGGTTTACGACTCCCTTGATAACATGTCCAGTCCACTGCAATCAGTGACGGCAAGAGTACAAACCTACTCTTTGTGACGGTCGTAGCTAGGTCGGATGGTGCGTTGACCCCGTTGAACTTTTGCTACTACAGTACAACGCCTTCTACAAAACAATTCCCCTGTTATTTTGCACAGAACCATCATATACATTAGCAGCATATGTGAGCATAATGCGGCATAAAATGATAACTTTTAGCATATAAATAGCATAATTCTGCAATTTTTTCAGCAATGCGAAAAGCATAATTTCATAACATTATTAGCATAATCCGTCAAGGCCTACTCGCTATCTAGCACGGTGGCTCGGGTTCATCAAGGAGGCAACATACAAATACTTTCTTCCTGGCTACATCCTTCTGCTACAGCAAAAAGTATTTTTTTGGTATGCACTATGCAGCAAAGTAACCACCCTATTGCAATAATGTTGTAATAATTCATTACATACATGCACAGAGTGTTTCTTTTACGGTACTTACATGTCTGTCATCTGGCTCCTTCGTTGTCTCGTTACTATTTGCTGCCGCGCTGGTGACGCCTCGCTTTTTCAGCATCTCCCTCACCATGGTCTTGGTGGTCGGCACGTCTGAGTCAGCTCCATCAACACTGCTAGCAGGGCTGGATATTCCCGTGGGTGACGTCACCGGAGGTTGGTGGACGGAACCGGAAGTGGCAGAAGTGGAGTACGCCTGCAGCTGCATGAGACTAGCCAGTACGTTGGCAATGGTCGGGTTGAAGGTGAACTGAGTAGGTGCCTCCGTCGTGGCGGCAGCACTCAATGGTTCCAGGAATGATGCGGAGGTCTGCACTGGCTGCTGTGGCTGCAGATGGGCTGCGTACGGCGAGGTGGCCAGTGTGGTCGGTTGCGCCATTGTGGGGTTTCCGAAATTGTCCAACGGCTGCTGCACATCTAGCGACAGAGCTGATGAACCGACCAGGGAGCCACCCCAGCCAGCCAAGCCCTCCGCCTGGTATGGATTAGCTGAGGCGGCCGTGACTGAGATAGGATCGAACGACTGCTGGCTGGGATTGGTCGAGGCGTGAGTCATCTGTGATTCCGGTTCAAAGTAGCCGCTCCACGTCTGCGGCATTGGCAAGAGGACAGGCAGAAAGGCACATGAACGCCGTTAGTGTCTGGTTAAAGACACACTCTGCGGAAATGCTACGCACGATGCACACAGCCTCTAGCCGAAGCAGAGTGGGAATCTTACTGTGTGTGTGTAACACACACGGAGGTGAGACAATGGCCGACTAGTTACTGCTTCCACTTTCGCGTTCCCACTACACTTTCTGACACAATCACTGTCTGTTCACACGTACACAACAGTCCGCTTTGCCACGTCGAACAAAAAGTCATTGCGTCGTGTACAGCGCTCGTTGGTGTACTGACGAATGAACACGCCGACATGCATTCTTCACTGCAACACTGTGCCGATCTATACCGGTAATGTGTCCGCTACGGCCTGCGTCTAGCGGGGATGCGCCGGTTTCACCAGCAAGCGTTGGGGAAAGTTCCTCTTTCCCCCATCGGCGACGTGGCCACATCGTTTCACCGTGTCGATGACCAGCCAGGCCCTGTTCGCTACACGCCCCATACATGTACGTACATGTCGGGTGGAAACTAGTAGTAGTATGCGGCATGCAACCAACACTCGCAGGACGTACAATGAACGCAAATTATTTGGGGTCGATCGATAGGCGATAGCACGAGGATTGATGGCGCAACGGTAAGCTATGGTATCATGCACAGCAAGCATTGCATCATCCACTGACAACAAAGGTTTCTGTCTTCCTTCTCGATCTTACCATTTCCGCGGTCGAAGACGCTCCGGCGTAAGCTGGGGCAGACCGAAACACGCTTCCAGAAGACGCTGCTGCTGTGGTGCCTGGCCCTGTGACCAAGCCGCTGATGACGTCATTCAGCTCGGACTGATCCAGCAAGTCAGCGTAGTGCTGCTGCTCCTGATGTGGAGACTGGGGCATACTGCTCGTCGTACTAGCACTAGTACTGGCTCTGGTAGGATCAGCAATGGCGGTCTGTCTGGAGTTGGTACGTGTGTTGGAAAAGTCGTGCATGATGATGTGCAGCCTTCGCTATCCTTTCGGTAGAAGAGCAAGAAACGTTAAACGACAACCCGCACGTCCTGAACTGCTCCAAAGTAAAAATGCTACCGAGTACCAAGCTCACTGTACTGCTCCCAGTTTACAAACTGTCGCTATTATCACTGCCAAGTCACTGAACTCTGTCACATTCCACTCCGCGTGCAATCTAGAAACTGCTGTTCTCTACGTGGCACCAGCACTTTTATTGAGAGGCCGCTTTGACTTAGAGTTTGACTTGAGCTGCCACATGCATTATTAGATGGACCTCATAGCTCAGTCAGTGCGTGCAGTGTCAGTGCCAAGATTCAGGCATAAACCAGCTCTTTTGATGGGCAGCTGGCGCATGGCATTCATACTCACGCTCACATGCGCACACACCGTACCGCTAGGCAACTGATCTGTAACCTTTTCGAGAACACTACGTCACGACTACTGCAACGGTACGCGTGCAGTGATCAGATGATTCGTTGAGTCGTTTGCTTTAGCCTAGGCTGGCACTACAGACAGTACAGGGTCAGTGTAGCAAACAGACTGACGTGGAAGGAAGGCGAACAGGCGGATTTGCTGTCGACCTGTCCTTGCTTGTTCAACAACCATACTGACAGACGTACTCTCAACTCAAGAGTCAAGTAAGTGCAGATGTCAAAGGAAAAGAGCACGTGATGTACTTCGTTCCGCACGATTATGTCATAATGACGTAATTACGGCCATACTGATACATTATCTACACTGATCTGATCTGAGTGATCTCAGTGATCTGACCAAACAGGGTATCGTCTTGACTCTTGAAAGTCTTTATCTTGCCTTGGTGACCAGTGACAGGAGGAACGCCAAGCACGTAGATCTAGACTAGATCTACACGGGGTAGATCTACGGTAGATCTCTCTAGCTCTACGGACACTGATGCAGTGCATGGTACAATGTAGTACTGACTGACTGTACGGACACTGCATACCCGTCTCACAACACAACGCAGTGTGATTATGCTTTTACAATGGACTGGGTTTGCTTGCTTCAAAATGTACTTGTATCATTGCATGGTCCTACATTATGTATGTGCTACGCTTTGGCTTTGGGACCAATAACTTGAATAAGACAACCTGCTGACAACAGTGTAAGACTTACGGAAAGAGCTAGCGACCGTCCTGTTGAGTGACCTCAGGTTCAGGTTCGGGTCAACCGGACTTGTTTTAGTCCAGATTCTAGACTCATCGCTTCGCCGCTGAGCTTCAGTGAGAACACGTGATCTTCAATCCGGTTTTGCCTGCGCCTGGCCTGGTTGCACCACCACTGCGAAGTACAGTAGTTCGTCGCTCTTCGCAAACATTCCAGGGCCAGCTGCACTGGTTGTTGGCCTTGGCATTCTGCTGCGCGGGGCATGTTTTTGGGTAGACTGTCCACATGAAGGCGTCAGTGAGCAGCGCTGTGATCTCAAACCAGGAGTCGGTGATCTCATTGATATGAGAAACAGCGAGTAGATCTACTGCGAGCACACATTGTAGATCTGCTGTGGAATTATTTGTAATGTCGATAGAATGCTCTGTTTTCCTTCGACCGTGTTGTGCAGTGAGCCATTGTTGTTTGGAGGGAACCAGAAGCTACCTTCAGCCCTGATACTGAGTGATAGGTTTATGCCCAACTGACGCGTTCTCCGTGCATGACGATTGTAGAGGTGGGAATGTACAGGTAACATTATGTACGATGGTTGGAAGATTGTTGTGATCATGTCTGTACCGTCGCCTTGTGCATGTGGCGTGCTCGGCTGACGCTGGGCCACAGGGAGTGGGAATGCGTCTTGACTCTTGTACGACGTACTTCAAACGAAGGATCTGGATTCTGTCAGATTGCTTTGTGCCTATTGTGGGTTCTTGTCTTGGATTCTAATCGGAGATCACACATCTGCACGCTCGTGTTACTATTCGCGTGCGTACGATATTTGTTGGGGATCTATTGGGAAGGTCAATGAATCCTTGGGATTGCTATGGTCGCCGCATGCAAGGATCTCATTATAATGGTCGAAAGGTCGGAACCCATGACATAACCCCTGCAGAGTGCATGACACCCTTATTGTATGAAGCTTTTCAACCAAGCCACAGCGCTCACGATCGATTTAGCTTGACATCCGTGCACTTCTTTGGCGGCCACAGTTCATTCACTCAGTACTGCCTCTTATCTCTCCTTGGCTTTGGCAGTCTGCTGATGCATTTCTCCCATTGGAGGTGAGATCACCTCAAGTCACCTCCAACAAGGACGTGTTGGTATTTCATGAACCCAGCAAGACTCTGTTGTCACATTAGAGAATCCCCAATAATGCCGCTACCATTCTGTACAGGAAAAGTAAAGTTGAAGTACGAAGTACAGTGTAGTTGAACAACTAACCGGGGCGCTAGTGCACTGGATGCGCTGGAGTGGAGTGAAGTCTGTAGATCTACTGAGTCTGTCTGAGTACTGTTGTAGCATATCAGCACATTGTCATTGTCGGTGTCTGTCTATACGAGAATCCATAAATACAAATACGAGCATTGAGGGGGTTTCCCCTTGAGCCAGTACGAGTTCCCTGGTTTTTGGTTTGGACATTCCAGGCACTGTGCAGATCTACGTACTGCAGTCTTTCAAGTTATTAGTTAGTTTCAACACAGGATCAATTATAATATTATTACAAGCTCTGGATGATTGATCAGTTGAGTACACTCCCACTTGGGGTGTGCTGGTGACAGTATCCCCTCCTCTCCCCCACTCGCCCTTCCCAAGCCTATGAATTCAAGTCCTTAAAAATGAATTCATCATTGTAAGAAGAAGATGGGATCAAGCCTAAAATTAAGCACACCATATTGAGATCGTAAACTGGCCTCCTAGTTTTACGAATTCTGCATGGGGTTAGGCAAGGGCTTGCATTGTTCCCTGGCCTGAATACAGTGAATAGTGGCACATACATGTAGTAGTGTATTTCATCCGTTGTAATTGCCCCACCAGCGCAGCAGATACATGTACATGCATACAGTCATGTACCTGGTGGACGAATTGTCCATTGTGGACTCTATAGGGCACTAGAGTACCAATACATTAGGTACTGGGAGTAAACGGAGTTAGAGAACCATGTGTACTACGTATGTGTATGTGTAACGTCAGTACGTACATTGTACATGGACATGCAGAACAGAACAGCAAGGACAAACAAGGCTTGTTTGCTGCAACTAACTTGAATTAAATACCATGTAGTTTCATGCTCTCGCAATCATCAGGCATTACGCTCTGCCTCCGCGGTGGTGTTGAGCACTGTCAGCACACTGTACACCCTCCAGTGTACATGGACATGTGTAGCTGGCGAGGGTCTGTTTCCTGATCGAAACCAAACAAAAGGACAACTACCCTGATGGTTTGAACCAAGGAGTAGTGAAAATACCATTTTTACTTCTCTTTGGTTTGAACTAATTTTTTCAGCTCTACAATCGCTGCAGGGGGTGAACTGTGATGTGATTGCTTGAGTAATCTTTATGAATATGTCTCCTGCTCAATTCCGCGTGGATGTGGGACCCTCATATACTGCAGTCAGCAATCTGGATTCTACTTTGAAGCAAGAAGATGTAATTATATACATGGGCCGCTGAGAGTTCTATTTTGTGTA